GTCATTTTACTGGTCTTTCAAATGATTTTTCAAAATGAAAAGTTGAGGAAATGCCTTTGGTGCAAAGAACGATACAATTTCAACTGTTGGAGAAAGAGAAGGGGAAATACGGTGGTGGGTGCTGTACCAGGGAGCTTGGGGAAACACACCATCTATCTGTGACTTGATCACCCCCACCCCCATCCCCAGCTTTCCACTCCTGCTTCCCTTGGCCTGACTCTCCCCCACTCAGCATCTTTCACCCCCGCCCAGGTCCTCATCTGATGGGACCTTCCTCAATGGACACCCATGCCCTGCCTTAGCTAGGATGGTACCCCACGCACCTTCAATGTCCACAGCTCATCTCCCTGGAGAGGGAATCCAACCTTAAGTGAGTTCGACCCATCTTGAATTTTAAAAATTATATTCACTTAACTTCACAGGAAAAAAAACATTGATGTACAAAAATGCCAAGATTTCAGTCATCCTACATTCTTTTTGGAGCTCTGCCAATGAGGATTATTTTCCACCTTCGTCATCAGGTTGGGATGGTAATTTATTGCTTCCCCCTTCACCTTTTTTTCTTAGGGGCACTTCCTTGTATCTCTTCAAGGTTAGTGGCCCACACTTTGAGGGCCTGTAGAACCAACCCTTCAGCACGCTCACTTTAGCCAGCCAGTTCCCCAGTGTTGGGCACAGAGTCCTTTCCAAAGTTCCCATATTGACCTGGCCATGACTCCCCTTAGAAGCAGAGGACTTGCCCGCCTCCTCCCATCCCCGGGAAGAGGAGGGGTGGACGAGGAGGGCCAGGAGGGGACCTAGAGCGAGGGGGGTGGCTCGTCTTCCAGGAGGGGCGTGGGCCGGGCGAGGTCCCCAGCCCACTGGGCCATGCCAACAATGGCCTGTTGTAGAAGGAGGCGGGCAGGAATGCGGCCGGGGGAGTTGGGCGACCGCTGGGCGGGGCCGCTCTCAGCCGCAGCCTCTTACCTGCCCAGGTAGCTCGCATTTCCAGGCGAGCGGCGGCGCCCGCAGCACCTGTCGCCCGGTGCGCGGGCGGGGAGGACGGCACTGGGCATGGCCTGGTAGAGTGCCCTGGGGAGACGGTGCGGGGTTCACTCCGGGGCAGGGCAGGGCGACCGAGGGACGGTCCTTCCCCGGTGTCCGCGAGGCCTGCGGCAGCATGAAAAAGAACCAGACGGTGCAGGGCACCCTCAGCAAATTCTTCGGCAAGAAGAATGCCAACTCCAACACCACCTCTCTCTACGCCACCAATCCCCCCTGGATTTTCACCCAAGAGGCCCGGGACGAGGGTGCCAGGGACCTCGGTAAGTGAGCCCCGCGGAGAGGGTTGGGCACGGAGCCGCCGGATGGCGGCCCCCACCCCTGGGAGGCAGCCGGCGGTGCTGCCCCGTCCCGGGCTCCGGGCGTTCCGCGCGGCTAGGGGCGGAGGGGCAGGGACACGTTGGAACCTGTGAACTGGCCGGGAAGGAGCTGCCGGGAACTGGAGGCGGTGCCGGAGTGCGTGTCTCTGGGGAAGGGCCATGGTGTGGGGGGATGGGGTGGGGCAGAAAGGTGCGCGGATGGAGGGGACCCTCCGCACAGCGAGGTCGGAGACCTTTGTGGCCCCCGCATCTGATCCCAGTCCCTCTTCCGAGGTGTTTGCTTTCCGTCCTCGCTGGAAAAGTTACGTTTGTGTTGCCAGAAAGGCTTCCCGGGGTCTGCAGTGGGCCCTCCTTTCCCAGCAGTACTGTTGAGTCAGACGTGCCCCCCACCCCAAGGAGGGCTAGGGATGGCCCTTTCAACCTGCACCTTTTCTACTTCCTCTGTTCCCCCAGTACATCTCCGCACTCTCCTGGCCCAGGGTCATAGGCAAAGGGGGTAGGGAGGCTACTATCTAGGTGCCCACACACTCAGCTCTGCACAGGGGAGGCCCAGGAAAAATCACCAAGAGCCACTGCTAGCAGGATACCAGCCTGTGCAAGACACCTACTCACTTACTGGGGTCACAGGTTCCTGCAAGGTCAGCCTGAGGCCTGAGTCGTCTATAGGCTCCGGTCTATAGGCTCTGAAGCCCAGGATGGGACTGTGGAGGCCACGGAAGCCCCTCCTGATGGTGAGCCTGGCTCCTGAGTCAGGGAGGTGTATCTCTGCAGGCATCTGAAAATACCATGCCTCCAGGGGTGTAGGAACAGGAATTTACTTCTTGTTTATGATATGAGTCTCTGGCCCAAGGAGGGTCACCCATCACTGCTTTAGCTCACTTGCCTTCATTGTCATCCCATTACCTTCACTGACATTTATGGTCACTGTGCGGGGACTCCCAGGAGATGTGATAGCCTCAGCCCCTGCTGTTGGATTCAGTTCAGCATCCAGATTGTCACGGGGGGGGGGGGGGGCACAAGGCACTGCGGCAGGAGCAGGGCAAATAAGATGTCACCTTTCCCTGGCCCAAGGATCTCAGAGCAGCTGGGTGAACAGCTAAATATGACGTTTAGCCCTTTCCAAGCCTTTGCTATAAAAGACTACATACAGAAGGGGCAGAGAGGACAGATAGCCTCTGAGTGCAATTAGCATTTAAGCTGAGAAGGAAGGGTATGAGCATTTTGCAGAGCAAAGAGCAGGAGCAAAGGCTGGGGGGTGGGGGTCAGGGGTAGGCGGGACAGGGCAGTTTGGGGGCACAGTTTAGGAACTTACAAATACATGTGTGCAGCCAAGTATAACTCTGTGATACCCAAACACCTCTCCTTGCCTGTGTAGCAAACATTTATTGATCCCTTCTGAGGTGCAAGGTACCATTCTAAAGTCCTCATGTTGTTGACTTAGTGAATCCTCATCTAGCCTATGATTCCTGTTTGACAGATGAGGAGACTGAGGCACAGGGAGGTTAAGTAACATGCCCGAGATCACACAGCTTTAAATGGCCGAGCCAGGATTTTCTTAAGTGTACAATCCAATGATTTTTAGTAGACTTACAGAGTTGTGCAACCATTACCACAATTCGGTTTTAGAACATTTTCATGATCACAAAAGTTCCCTCGTGAAGCAGAGGCAGTATTTGAACTCAGGCGGTTGGGCTCCAGAAACCACACTCTTGGCCAGCTTGCAGAATTGACTGTGTGGAAGGTAATTCAAGGGTGAATTTGACTTGAGGGGGCATCTGCCTGAGACCTCTCCCTACCCTTCCCCAAAAGGAGACCTCAGAAATGCCTTAGACACGTCTCCGCATTTTTGCCTGCACTGAGCAGGCTGCTGGTGGGGATCACTGCCTCTGTGAGAGAAATGGGGGCATGGTGCCCTGTCATCTCCAGCCAGCTGCTGCCTTCACCAGCCTGGGCAGGGCTGGATTCCAGGGGGGCAGGTCCCCCCATTCCCCAGGGCAGGGCTGGGCCACCAGCTGACTCAGCCTGGTTGCACCCTGCACATGGAGAAATAGAAAACAAAGTGCATCTGACAGAATGGCAGTGTTTATGGGGTGTTCCCCCACTTTCCGTGCCAGTGCGCGTGGCAGACGTCCTCCCCCCTGCTGAACAGGACACTTACTTGGAGTTGGGGATTCTGTGATGTGATGGAGATGCCAGACCTGCCTTGGGGCCCTCCCTCTGTCAATAATAAGGACTAGCCACTCTCTGGGTCTTAATTTTTAATTCTGTTAAGTAGAGATGGTGTCTAGTCTGCCTGTAGAATGACTGCTTGAGGTTTGTATGTGGCAGTGCTTTGAAGAGCATTAAAAAGAAATGCCCTAAGATAGCAGAGTCACACAGCGGAAGTGTGCTGGGCCCATTAAAAGAAATGCCCTAAAGTAAGAATTGGCAGATTATGGCCCTGGCTCAAATCCAGCCGGTGGCCTGTTTTTGTAAATAAACTTTTATTAGAACACAACCAGCCACGCACATAATTTACAAATTGTTTATTGGCCGCTTTCACGCTACAATGACAGAATTAAGTAGCTGCAGCGGAGACTGTACGGCCTACAAAGCTGAAAATGCTTACTAGCTGGCCCTTTTATACTATCAGGTCATTCCCTGAGTATTCCCTGCCCTTGCCTGCTTCAGTTCCTCTTCCTAACACTGCTTTAGACCAGAGGAAATGGAGGAAAAAGAGTCTATCCTAAGGTCTCAAAGGGGTTGGGATTAGAGTTCTATCCGGTTTCTGAGTCTGTGACATTCTCTGCAAAGCTGGTCATATCAGGCCCTTGGAGAACAGACTGTGGGTTGGGGGAGGGAGGGAGGAGATTCAGTGTAGGGATGTATAAGGGAAGTAAGGAATAACCACTTGCTCAGTGGCTACAGCCAGGTACAAATTTTTTGGCACATTGCAGACTGGATGCAGCCAGTAAAATGCAGTCCTGTGAAGGTGGTGACAGATAAATTTTTCTTTAAAGAATTTTTCTAACATTTATTCCAGGAACTTACTTTTCTTGAGGGCTTCACTTAATGCAATGGCAATCCTAATTAAACCTCTTGCCTTTCCCCAGCCCATGCTAGGGTCTTAAAAGGCCACACAATTGTCTTTTAAAGGCTTGGAGAGGTGATCTTTGGGAATCCTGAGATAAGGGATGGGCTGCTGCCGCCTGAGACCAGGAGCCCTGGACTCCTCCCTTGTCTCCTGGATTAATTCAGCCTTGCTTCTTTATCTGCTGCCACCCCACCCTACCCCAGCAAGTAGACTGCCCTGCTTGCTGGGGAACTGTCTTTCTTGCTTCCAAATGTAAATCACCTTCATCACAACCACGTAGGACAGCCTGCTTAAAATGCAGATTTCTAGGGTGCCACCTCAGGCCCCTGAAGTCAGAATCGCTGGGCTAGGGCCCAGGGTCTGGGTTTTTCACCTGCTCCTGGGTGATGGTTTTATACAGGAAGATTTGAGAATCCTGGGGTTCCTTTCCCCAGGTGGGAGCTGAACCATACTCTTGCCCCTTAGAACTTCCTGCAGTTCTAAATAAATGTGGAGGGACTGTGGCCAGCTCCTAATTAAGAGAACCCCTAGTGCTCCCTAGGGTGGCTGCTGGTTCTGGTATCCCTGTTCCTAGAGTCCCCTGACCTTGTGTCTCAGGCCAGGCTAAGGGTAGAAAGTCATGAACCCCAGAAGCTGAGCATAGATTTCCCGCCAGTGCCCAGCTGGCACCAGCCTATGGAAAGCTGACTTGTACTCCGAAGGGGGGGTGAAGGAGACTGTTGTTTACTCCTGTCCCCTGGAGGTGTGCTGTGGTTTGCTGGCACTTAGTCCACACACACACACCCTCTCTGCTGCCCCATTATATAAAGTTCCTCTTATCTTGGTGGTTGAATTCAGAAAGCAGGCCCTCCCTTGACCACTGCAGACCTGCTACAGGTAGCCCATTCTCTCTCAGCCAATAAATGAATAATAATAATCCCATCATTATCAGTTATTTCTTGAACGAGGCATTGTGCTAAAAACTACATATGTTTTCTCAATTGAGGAAAGAATCAGAAGGCTCAGAGGTTAAAGGACTCAGTCATTTCAGCTCAGGGCAGCTCAAAATTTAAGTGTGTCAATCACCTGGGTCCTGACACGGTAGGTTAGGGATGGAGGGAGACTGCACTTCCCAGCAGTTCCCAGGTGAAGTCCTTCTGCAGGTCCGCAGACCGTATTCTGGGCAGCACGTCCAAGTTGGAAGGAGAGGGCCTATTTGCTGCTCTCTGCACCCTCCAGTCCCTGCCCCCAAGGCTCCTCCCTCTCTGTTCCCCCCTCCTCTGCTCTGTGACTCCTCCCTGCCCTACTCCAGCCCAACTTTCAGCGTTCTCTCTGCCCTTGGACAAAGGCCTCTCTCTGGTGCTGGGGTCAGGCCTGCTAGGGCTTGCTGGGGCAGACTGGCCTTTTCAGGTTTCTGTCATGTGGACCTGTTAATTAGCAATGAAGGGCCTCATTAACTCCATTGTGGGTTACATTCACATGGCACCCCCCCTACTACTTGCCTAAAAACTTGGGGTTCCCCTAGTGGCCAAGGATTGCTTGCCCCACCTCAGGAGAGTAGAGGTGAGGGGTCTGTTTTTGGGTTCTGGGTTACTCTGGGTCAAGGCAACAAACTCCCACACCTAACCCTCTTAAGCCCCTTGAATCCATTGGGCTGGTGCGCCTGGGTCATGTGGGGGCCCCTGGCAATTTGGAGTCCCACACCATCACCCCAGCTCTTCTCTCGTACCTGATAGCTTCTTTCCCTCCCCTGATTTGGGGAGGCTTCCTGCAAAATACAAGTAATTATTCCCATTTGACAGGTGGGGAAACAGCCTGAGAAAATGCTCAAAGCTCTCAGGTATTAACATGGAGGAGCTGGGGTTCTGATTCCCGGGTTCATTAGTTTCCT